CATGGAGGAGGTTCACGGGCTGCCTGCTAATTTCTCAGCAAACAGAGCAGCTGCTGAACGCTTTAAACAAAAGGTGAAGCTCTGAGCTTTGTCCTCCAGACACGGAGAAAATGACACAGACAGGCCTTTGGGAGTTTCTTGTGTACAAGGCTTGTGTACAAATAAGCTGCAATTAGCAGAATTTATGAGCGAGCACGCAAACCTGCTGAGGATCCGTTTCTGAGTTGACTACGCCTGTGGAGTGATGTGTAGAGCACATTTGGTCGAGGTCATCTGACAAATAAACCGAAAACATGCATTAATCAGCCTGAGGAATAATTTAGCTGTTAAGGCCACAGAACATAAACTGAAGAGTTTTTGAGCTCGGGTCAGTATGTTGTAGTGATTATGAAAGTTGTGGTTTATTCATAAAACATGAGCAGAACAAATTTTATTGTAATTTGTCAGTAAAATCATTTACGATGCAAAGTTTTATGTTAGAATGGTTTTATGAACTACTTGCAATTCGATCTGCTTGGCTTTCATTGGGGATTATCTAATATATATATATGAAGAGTTTGGTTCCAAAACGTGATAAACGCCTTTTTTTTTAAATTGAGTTTTCGCCAAAATCAGTATTGTATCTGGTCGGTATTGAAAAGTCTTTTAATTTTATGCAAAATGCGATATCCGCCGAGTTAGTTAGTCATGTTTTTTCCTTTTTTTTCCAAACCGCGACAAACGCCAGTCTCCCTTTTCTGCAGAATGCGATACATCAGCTCAACCAATCACAGTGCACCATTCCACGCACTGTAAACAGTAACAACCAATCACAGCGCACCATTCAACGCACTCTAGACAGTAATGGCGGCGCTTTAAATACACCCGGCATCCTAGTTTACCTCATCTACTTTGTACTTTGTGATCAACAAACAAACTTAGGGCTGCACGATAAATCGCATGTGATTGTCATGCGCATCTCGTCAGTAAAGTCGGTTCTGTGATTAGTAGTAAATCTCCAGCACGTGCTTTCAGATGGAGCGGCATTTAATACACAGAGCCATAGATCACTGCAATATCGTGTTCATAATCGCAGATGAGTCGCATTCGATTATGAACGCGATATTGCGTAGCTTGTCAGTGTAAGTGTTTTTATTTATGCCATTAATGTTTTTGTTAATACAGCGTATAGCACTAGTCAACTAAATGAATGTAACGTGGCAAAGATGAATGCACTTTTGGAAGTTGAATGTAAGGGAAATGCCATTTTGGAATTTCTGTGGTTTAATGTGATATTCTTCATGTTCTTGTTCATGATGAAATTTTCTTTTATTGTTGTAATTAATGTATAGCATTAACAAGATGACCCGTTGAATTCATTTTGGGAGCGATGACTGATTGAATGTATTTTTAGTCCAGTGCCTGCATATAAGATTAGTATTGACCAAGTTCAGAGG